CAGGCACTGTTGAGAGGTATTTTCTGCCTTCATGGTCCTTATAGTCTTCTGTTGATTACCCACAATACAATGGGAGTCCCACAAGAGTACAGTGTTAATAGCTACAGGTGGGTTTTAAGCAGGATTGGCAAGGAAGGGACAGAAGTTACTTTGTGGAGAAGAAAGGGCTGTCATAAAGTGTTGTGTAGAAGAGTCATCATAGTGAATAAAATGTAAATAACACTAATTTTCCTAACTCTGAAGGGATATGCCATCAGATTTGGGGAACTCCATGCTTTCCAGACCAAAGGTATCTCTCTTTATGCAAAGAAATTTATTATTCTGATCTGAATCAGATTAAAGCAGATAGCACATTTTCATTAAGCATGTTGAGTCTAAGTGCTCCCTCTGTGCTACTAATAAGAGTTTTTCCCCCAAAAGACAGGGCTGGGGGTGTAGCTCAGATGGTATAGTGATTGCCTAGCATGTGCAAGACCCCTCAGTACTGCAAAACCACCAAAAAAAGATAATTCTTATCTAAATGTCTGAAAATAGTTTACATTCTAACAAGCCCCAGACACAAAATTTGGCTTGATTATATAGACAAAAAAACTTAAACCAAAATGCCACAGCTAAGCTGCTAAGAGTTACATCTTTTGGGGAATGAAATTAGTGATTTATTCCTAGCTGTGCAAATATTTTGCTATAACCTTTTGTGTGTATGTGTGTGTGTGTAATACTGGGGATTGAACCCAGGGATACTTTACCATTGAACTACATCCCCAGCCCTTTTTATTTTCATTTTGAGACAGAATCTTGCTAAGTTGCCCAGGCTGAGCTAGAACTTGCAGTCCTCCTGCTTCATTCTCCTTAATCACTGGGATTTTGGGTGTGTATCACCATGCCTGGCACAGAGTTTATTTAATAGTTTGGATGTAGAAAGCGGCTGAGAATGACAAAGTTAACTGGATTCAAGATTTTTTTTTTTTGGGGGGGGGGCATAAAGATGGTTATGTTAAAAAAAAAAAAAAAGAAAAAAAGGAAAAAAAAAAAAGATGGTTATGTATTTGTCAACAAATACCAAACAACACTCAAACTCTCTCATAATTCCCCAAGTGTCCAAAGCCCTAAACTAGGCTGGGTGAGCAGATTTTCACTTTCTGCTCTAAAATTGAGAAAGGGCTAAGATACAAACTAGGAAGTTGTATTTATTTATTTTGTACTGGGGATTGAACCCAGAGGCACCTTACCACTGAGCAACATCCTCAGTCCTTTTTATTTTTTGAGACAGGATTTCACTAATTTACAGAATTTTCTTTCTCAGTAAACTGTGACTGCCTCCTGCCTCAGTTTCCCAAGAAGCTGGGATTACAGGTGTGCACTACTGGTGGAGGAAGTTGTTTTAAGTATTACAATGAATACAGATTGGTGTAATGCCAACATTTGTAGAATCCTTTGTCTTTCTTCATTTTCCAATGCAGAATTATTATAGATTTAGATTTTATCAAATCCAAGTGCTGCATCCAATGTAAGGCTATTTTCTTCACCATCCTTGGCAGATGGATATCCAGTATCTTCTAAACCTTTCGGTCACGAGGTACTTTCCTTTTCCCAATTCTACGTTCCTATTCTCATCCAAGGCAGTTAGCTGCCTTCCCTCTTCTTGGAAAGTTCTGTATACCACCACCACCACCACCACACCCTGTCCGGAGCTCCAACACAGCATGGAGTTTGTCGGTAGCCTCCAGATCTTTAAGTTTGTGAGCAGAGACCATGTCTTACCCTTGCACTTTAGCACACCTGAAACCTTTAAGCGCTCCATAATTGTTCAAGTGAAGGACATCTACTAGGCCCATACTAGGTACTTGCTGTGTTCTTCGCCCATTTTTGTTCCCCTCAGTTCTTCTAAGTCCCCTTCCTAACACAAGCCAGACAACCACACCCCTTTCCTTTTCCGTGAATAAACCACACTCAAATTCTCTCATAACTCCGCAAGCATTGAGGACGCAAGGGAAATTCCAGCTCCGCTTTTGTCAGCTTCTCTCGTTAGCTACTTGGAATGACTGCGATACGTGCAATTAGGAACGGTGTCTAACAACCACTTGCCCAATAAAATCGTGAGAATGACCCAGAAGCCCCGAAGGGTGAAGGCGGTCAGCGCTCTAACCACGCTAGCAATTAACAGAGGGCTGATTTCAAATTCCACTTCATTGTTGTAGGATAGCCCCCCACCCTTCGCGCACGCGCCTTACACTTCCAATCGCACACCCATCCCGTTAATCTCTCGCGCATGCGCCGATTTTGTCGCCTCAGTAAGTGACTAACTCCTCTGGCCCTCATTTGTCAAGGCTCACGACCTCGCTAACGGCTTCCGCGCGGGCACTAACCGGTACTCGAATTCCTCGTCGTCGTATTTGTCCGAATAGTAAATTTGTTTGTGCGACATGATCACTCTGCCTGCGGGCCTCCAACACCGCGCCGCCAACCTCTAAACAACTCCCAGCAGCACGCGCTCCCACCCTCTTTGGCCTCGCTTTCAAACACACCGCCCGCACTTCCTATTGGTCCGTTTGGCTTAAGGCGGGACAACTCCACCTTGAAGCCTCCTATTGGCTTAGATTTGCTTCTCCTCGAGTCCTTATTGGAGTGCAATTCTCACATTCCCGAAGAACAAGCTTGGGTCAAAAATAGGCATCTTATTGGCTATCACTGCTCCATGAGCATTCTCGCGCTGCCATTGGCTGGTTCGGGAAAGTGGGACGGGTGAGGAGGGACCGTGAGGTAGAGGGTCAAGGGTTAGTGAGGCCGGAAGTGAGTGTAATAAAGTTTCTCCGGGGAGGCCGGGCCGGGGAGAAAGTTAGAGCGGCGACTTAAGCAGGCAGTGGCGTGATCCGCAACCAGACTGGCCCGCGGTGCGGTGCGGAGACTCCATGAGGCCCTGGTGAGTCTTGACTTTTTTTACTCGTTAGGCGACCCACTCCTCCACCCCGGAACCCCTCTCCCGGGACCCCACTTCCGGTCGTCATTTGTGAGCCCCGCCTCCTGAGACCCCCTCCCCGGAAGTCCCACCTCCCAACTTCTGGGGTCTCCCCGAACCCCGACTTGTCTTTTATTGTCGTGACTCCACCCTGTCGTCCAGCTTTCCTGGAAGTCCCACCCCCAGGCATGCTTCTAAGCCCTACTACAAGAAACCCTTCTTTAGTCCGTCCACTTCTCCAAAACTCCGCCTCTTCACAGCGACTCTCCGCTAATTCCTGTCTGTCAAAGCCTAGGTTCCGAAAGGGCAAAGGCTTTCTCCTCAAAGGATTACCTTACTGAAGCTGTGACTCGGGGGTTCCGCCCCCTCCGGGGGCTCCGCCCCTTCCGTAGTCCACGTCCGCCGTCCCGAAGCTTGGCTGCCTAGAAATCTGAGGCGCGCGTCTAGGGGCCCACGCCCCCTTAAGAGATTGATCCCTGGGGACCCAGGTCGTCGCCTGCAGAGCTTGTCTCAGTCGCCCGCTTACATTGCCCTGTCCTTCCTCTCTCTGGGCCTCGGGCTCAGTTTCCTGACGCTCGTGCTCCTCCAGGTGGAAAGTCGAAGTCCCCATCCCGGCTGGGAGGGGAGACTAGAGGCGGCCGGCTTCTCTGCCCTTACCTTCAAGTAGATCCTCCAGGTGTGGGTCCACTGGAGGGGCGCTGGACTTGGGGTTGGGTAGGAGAGTGGGAGAGACACTTGCTCAGAATTTTCCTTCCTAGGACCAGCAAACCGCTGAGGTCTTCCTGCCCGAGGCGGGGTGGGGCGGCGGGTTGTTGGTGGCGGCCTTGGGGGCCAACGGGAGCCAAAGTTTCCCTCCACCCGGGAATGGTGGTTTGGAGCCCGGAGAAGCGACTAGTGTCCATTTCGTGGTTTTTAAGGGACCCCTCAGTCCCCCTTCTCTGGGTCTTCCCCTCCCCCTGGGCAAAGCTGTGGTCTGGGCATTCGGTTCTGGTCCTGGCTCCGTTTGCAGCCTTCCTAGCTGGAGACATTCCAGAGGCCCTCGCCATTTCCTGCTACTTCCCGCTCTCCTTTCTCCTCTCTGCTGGCCTGAGAAGCAACACGCGCTTTTTGCCTCAAATACCCAATCGCCTGGACCTCTAGCAGGCAATTTTCTTTCTCCCTGTGCAAATTTCAGGAGTCATCCTTTTTTCCTCCAAGTGGCCACACCTTTTGGGTCATTCCCATCTCTGGATCTTGCAGTCTCACACAGCACTTCATCTCTAAAGATGAGGACATACTGGTTTGTGTGTGTGTGTGTGTGTGTGTGTGTGTGTGTGTTGGAAGCATGAAGCCATGGCAGAATCCTCCCTCATTCTCTGTTTGAGAGCTGAGGCCTTAGCAAATGGATAATAGAATTCCTTCTCGGGAGTGGGGGAATGCAGTGACATGGCTCTCGGGGATGAGAACTGAGGGAAGCGGAGAGAGTTAAGCAAGGTACTTGACATACTTTAAGTGCTACTAGTGTTAATCATTTCACTCATATAGATTGTTTTAATCCTCTGAAGCAAACCTAAGGGTTATGCTGAGATGAGCCTGGGGGAAGATGTATCTTTTACTACTTGTATTTTGGTCACTTTCCAACTTCCTTTATGGCCTCAAGCAGAACTGCGGCAGGAAGTTGTGGGTGGCAGGAATAGGCTTGGGACTGTTCCTTGAGTCCAGCCTCAGCTCATCTTTTGGCACCCTTTTCTCCTGTCCTTATTGACACAGATTTGTCTTGCGACCACTCTATCTATAGTGGTCTGTAGCCTGCATTTCTCTTTGGGAACTTTCATTCTCCCACCTTCCCTTGCCAGACCTCTCCTCTAGTGTAAGGGACACTTTGGTGAGGTTGAAAGCCCTGCAAGAGGAGGGGTCTGGGTGTACCTGGCAGGCCCAAGGGGTTGACCTTAGTCTTAGTGCTCTGATCCTCCTTTCTTACCTTTATTATTTTACTTTGCTAATGGTCCCTTGGAAATGGGGCAGAACAGTGCTTGACCGTGGGCCATTGTTCCTTGGTTGGTAGGCGCCATGCATGGAGAAAGAGGCTTGAACATATCCTCTTGATGGAGTTCTTGTCTTGTAGCTCCCTGAGGCACCACCCAGGTTGGACTTTATTTCACTTACTTCACCAGCCTTGCCCACCCGCTAGGCCCCTGCTGCATCCACTGGGACCACTTCCTTCCTGTCCCCAGTCCACAGCTGTTGTAGCAAAGGATGTTAATGGCCCAGGCTCCCCGGGGCCACTACCCCCCTGTATATGGTAGTGGTGGGAGGTGGCCTGGGCTGGAGGATGGGGGAATGTGTGTGTTCAACCTGGACAGGAAGGGAAATGCTGAGTCCCGGGATCCCCTCCCTTTCCACCCCCAGCTGTCTGTTTCCTCCCTCATTCCCCGCTAGCCTCCCCTGGTTTCCTGATCTCTTTTGCCTGCCCATGTCCGGTTTGGATTGATCCAGACCTCCTCTTATCTCCTTCCTTTCCTCCGTACTCCTCCATCTTTCCCTTCCACCTCCACTTTCCTCCTCTCCAGATTACTAGTTGCTGCCCTACACTGGGCAGGGGAAGGGTGTCGCTAGCTTTACCCTAGCAGGAGTTCTAGGTTGGGGCGGTGGTTGGGGGAGCTCAGCCCCTCTGAGCCTGTGAGTCAGCACTGTCCTTGGGATTGGTCTCTCTCCTTAGTTCCCCGCCTCTGGGGAGGAGCCAGGCAGCTCCGGGTCCAGCCTATTCTCGTCTTAGCCAGAGAAGAGGCTCCACGCTGGTGGGGATGGGCCCCGAAACTGTCTGGGTCTGACCTGGGGGAATGGAAATCACTTATCCTTCTCCTGCCCCAGGACCCCTGTGACTCCTGGGCCATAGAGGTTCAGCCAGGCTAAGGGCCTGGGGATGCCCCCTGCCTGGCCCCCTTGCCCGAACTGGCAGGGGGGCCGGGCTGGGCAGCAACCCCCCTCTAACTCCAGCCATGGATCTCCTGCCCCCCAAGCCCAAGTACAACCCACTTCGGAATGAGTCTCTGTCATCGCTGGAGGAGGGGGCTTCAGGGTCCACCCCCCCGGAGGAGCTACCTTCCCCATCAGCTTCGTCTCTGGGGCCCATCCTGCCTCCTCTGCCTGGGGACGACAGTCCCACTACCCTGTGCTCCTTCTTTCCCCGGATGAGCAACCTGAAGCTGGCCAACCCGGCTGGGGGACGCCTGGGGCCTAAGGGGGAGACTGGAAGGGCAGCTGAGGATGGGGAGGGGATCACAGGGGCAGCCATGCCAGACTCAGGCCCCCTGCCCCTCCTCCAGGACATGAACAAGCTGAGTGGAGGCGGCGGGCGCAGGACTCGGGTGGAAGGGGGCCAGCTGGGGGGCGAGGAGTGGACCCGCCACGGGAGCTTTGTCAATAAGCCCACGAGGGGCTGGCTGCATCCCAACGACAAAGTCATGGGACCCGGGGTTTCCTACTTGGTTCGGGTGAGTGAACATCCTCCCTTCCACTCCCTCCCACACCCCCTGCGGTTCCTCTGCTCACTCCAGCTGTGCTGGGCTCCCTTCCTCTTCTCCACCAGCACCCTCTGTTTCGGAAACCTTTCTTGCACCTTCTCTGATTCTCTTCCCCTTCCCTTCCCATCTGGGGAAATTTCTGCCAGGGCCCCCTTCCTTCTTTGGACACTGCCCCCCCACTGTCCCCACCCTGCTTAGCACAATGCCTGGCACATCAAGAGGCTCTCAGTAAGTGTGGGAATGAGTGACTTCTTGATTCTCCTCTCCAGACTCCTCTCCTTTTCTAGAGATGTCAAAGCATCCCACCCAGTCCTGTCACTGCCCTCCGGATTCCCCCAGTGCATGAGGCCCTCCTAGCTTGGCCCTTTCTCTTTCTCCATGTTTTCCGTGGATTGTGCTTGGTGGGTTGTAACCATAGGTAGTGGGCAGACTACTTCAGCCTTACTTCCCTTAGGGATTATGTAAGAAAGCCTTAGGGCTCTGTGGGAAGGGGGTGGGGAGGCTGCTGACCTGTGGTCCTCCCCTCCGTCCCTTAGTACATGGGCTGTGTGGAGGTCCTGCAGTCGATGCGTGCCCTTGACTTCAATACCCGGACTCAGGTCACCAGGTTAGTGGGAGTGGCTGCATTGTGGAAGTCCTAGGATTGTGAGGCCACGGGAAGGGGGACACTTGGTGGTGGCGCTAGTGGTGGCTTTGGGTGGTGAAGAGGATTGAGGGAAAGTTAGGGGAGTTAAGTCTGAATGCAAAGAGGCAACTCTGGTGTGGCACCTCCTTACCTACCTAGTCTTGGGGATTGTGGGGAAGGTGGCAGAAACAGTTGGTCGAGTTGAAGTAGAAAATGGAAATTGATGGAAGGTTGCTGCTGCCTTTGGCTAGGGAATGGGACATTTGGTAGCTGAGAAGAGGTGGGGTGATACCCATTGAGGTTCTAACTGAATCAGCCAGGAAGCGGCCTTCAGTGTCATCAAATATTAAAGGCTCTTAATTCAATCCACCACGACAAAGAGCCTGGAGTGCCCTGGGAGTCTGGCCTGGCTTTCCCCTCCCCCAGCTCCGTGGCAGCCCCAGCTGGATGGGAGGCATGCTGTGGGTCTGAGTACCCCTCTTTCCCCAGGGAGGCCATCAGTCTGGTATGTGAGGCTGTGCCGGGTGCTAAGGGGGCAACAAGGAGGAGAAAGGTATGTGGGGTCAGCGGGGCTGGGAGACGTGGAGGGGCTGAACGTGTGGGAGAAGCCTGAGGCAGGAGTTTGCTCTCCTGGTGTGGGTGCCCTCTGAGACTCTGGGCCCTTCCCTAGCCCTGCAGCCGCCCACTCAGCTCTATCCTGGGGAGGAGTAACCTGAAATTTGCTGGAATGCCAATCACTCTCACCGTCTCCACCAGCAGCCTCAATCTCATGGCCGCAGACTGCAAACAGGTTGGTGATGTGGAGCAGGGGGACCAGAAACACTGAGGGGAGGGCCAAGGGAGATCTAGGGATGAGACCAAAACTAGGTGAGAGGATGTGGAGGCAGCAGGATTGTAGGGAAGGAAGAAATTAGGAGGACATGGGGTAAGAAGCCAAGAGAAAGAGACTTGGACTCCAGGGTTCTGGGCCAGGGGTAGAGGCATCTGAGAGTCCTGAGGCTGCCTGACACGTCATTCCCTTCCTCCTCCGTCCCCTGCCCTAACCCTCAGATCATTGCCAACCACCACATGCAGTCTATCTCATTTGCGTCCGGCGGGGATCCGGTGAGTTGGGGAACAGAGTAGAGGTTGGGGGAGAAAAGTAAAGGGCTAGGGATTGGGAAGGCATTGGCTCGAGAAGTGGGGTGCTAGAATGGTGGGAATATCTGAAAAGGACTGAATCTTAGGGCCAGGATGGAGCTGTAACATTTAGCTAACTAGCTTCTTCTGACTCTGTCCACCCCAGGACACAGCCGAGTATGTCGCCTATGTTGCCAAAGACCCTGTGAATCAGAGAGGTGAGGCGTGGTGGGGAGCACTGGGTGGGGCCGGCTGTCAGTAAGGAAGGTGAGCAGGACCTGGGGTTATCCTTTTGTGCTCTGACTAAGAGGAACGGATAGGGGCTCTGCTGGGAGGATGGGGGCCCCGTCCACACCTCCTTCGAGCTCACTGACGGCCTCTGCCGTGCCCCCAGCCTGCCACATACTGGAGTGTCCAGAAGGGCTTGCCCAGGATGTCATCAGCACTATTGGCCAGGCCTTCGAGTTGCGCTTCAAACAATACCTCAGGAACCCACCCAAGCTGGTTACCCCTCATGACAGGTGAGCCAGCGGGCCCCAGACTGCGAATGGAAAAGTGGGTCTGCTCCTCCCACACTTGAGCTCTGAAAGGTTCAGGGAAGGAAATAACCTGTGGCCCCTGCTTCACACTTCCTGCCATTCTTATGTTTCTGGTGGCCCATCAGGAAAGTCTTTTGAGGCCTTGGCTGCTGCAAGACCAGTCTGCCTCCTCTTTCCCATGGTGGTGCTGTGTTTCCGCTCCTCCCAATGGCGTCTCTTTCTCTGTGGTGGACTTCTCTCTTTCCAGTCTCCTTGCTTCTGGCCCATCCCCATCATTGCCTGCCTCTCCATCCTTTGTTTTCTGCCTCTAACAGCCACCAAGAGTTTGGACTGGGAGGCTCTCTCTCCTTTTTTGAGGTCCCTGCCTTTCCTGCATTAGGCTCCATGGGATTAGCAGGAGGCCAGTAGGTTGTTTTTGGAGAGGTTGAACCATTTTGGAGCAGCCCCACCCTGCTACATAGTGCTTCCCATCTCTCCTGGGAGACACTGTAATAACCGAGGGCATAGCCTGAATTTAAACAAATAATAATTTAAAAAACATCAGAATTTAAATCTCTGCTGTATTCCCTCTTAGTTGTGAGTCCTCAGGGAAATCTTTTCACCTCTGATTCTCATTTTCCTCATTTTGCAGAGTTAGGGAAGGAGATGTATCAGGTTACAGGGTTGCCAGGAGGATGAAATGATGGGGTTTATAACACCCAACCTTGGGCACAACCCACAGTAAATGCCCAATATGTGGCCACTGTTCTGTTATCCTAGTGTGGCCCCCCAGCCACCACACATTTACACCCATCTCGTCACTCTGCCCTGTCTCTCTCAGGATGGCTGGTTTTGATGGCTCCGCTTGGGATGAGGAGGAGGAAGAGCCACCTGACCATCAGTACTATAATGACTTTCCGGGGAAGGAGCCCCCTCTAGGGGGGGTGGTAGACATGAGGCTTCGGGAAGGAGCCCCTTCAGGAGTTGCTCGCCCCACTCCACCCAGTGTCCAGACCTCTAGCCACCTGGGAGCTACACTGGTAAGTTATTTGGATGGAGGCGCCTGGGCTCAAGTAGGAGTGAGGGTCTCTGATCTCACTTGATTTTTATCCCCGCAGCCTGTCGGACAGTCTGCTGGGGGAGACCCAGAAGTCCGTAAACAGATACCACTTCCACCCCCCTGCCCAGGTACAAAGCCGGGGTTGAGGAGGGCAGAGCCAAGGGTGTAAGAGCAGGGCAGGGTCACATTGAGCCTCCCTTTCCTCAGCAGGTAGAGAGCTCTTCGATGATCCCTCCTATGTCAATGTCCAGAACCTAGACAAGGCCCGGCAAGCAGGGGGTGGGGCTGGGCCCCCCAATCCTGCTGTCAATGGCAGTGTACCCCGGGACCTCTTTGATATGAGTGAGTGTATCTGTTTTTGTATCCCCCACCTTCCTGCTGGGGTGCTCCTCTTCTGCCAATCCACTCTCTGCTTTCTTGCTTCCTTTCCTGACGGTCTAGGTCCAGGTGAGTGCTGGGCCAGCTACCTACCCTAACCCTCTCTCTATCCCCTAGAACCCTTTGAAGATGCCCTTCGGGTACCTCCCCAACCCCAGTCCATGTCCATGGCTGAACAGCTCCGAGGGGAGCCCTGGTTCCATGGGAAGCTGAATCGGCGGGAGGCAGAGGCGCTGCTTCAGCTCAACGGGGACTTCCTGGTGCGAGAGAGCACGACCACACCTGGCCAGTACGTGCTCACTGGCCTGCAGAGTGGGCAGCCCAAGCACCTGCTTCTGGTGGATCCTGAGGGTGTGGTGAGTGTGGCAGAATTGTAGGGGGCGGGGCAGAAAGGAGATACAGTGCCCTTCCGTGCATTCCTGTTCCTTTCTTCCGTCATTGCTTTCTAGTGCTTTCCCTGCTGGCAGCTCTCTGTGGACCTCCCCTGCTCCTCTAGGTGCCTGGCATCCCTCTCCTGTGGCTTAGAGATCCGTCCTTTCTCATGTCCTTAAGTCTGAGCTGTGTTCTTCCAGTCTTGGCCAGTCCTCAAATCCCCAGACCATAAGCCTGTCAGAGCTAGAAGATACTTATCTGCACCCCTCTTTTCTTTTTTATTTTGTGGTGCTGGGGATCGAACCCAGGGCCTTGTGTATGTGAGGCAAGCATTCTGCCAACTGAGCTATACCCCCAGCCCCTGTAGGGAAACCACCCTGGAGTGGTTGTGATGTCCAGTGTTAGACGGTAGAGGCTAGATGCCAAGTTTCCTATTGTAAGAGGAGCTAGGGACCCTCTCAGCTCCCTGTAGACTCAGTGCTCAGTCCATTGTCCCCCTTCTCCTCAAAGCTTTGGTTTCTTTTCTACAGCAATCAGCTTTTTTTGTATGGTATATCCTCCTCTGAGACATGCCAACTTCCTCCAGGTCCTTCAGCTTCACGATTTGTGGACTGGTGTCCCCTTCACCTTTTCCCAGTTAATTGACCTAAGCATTCCCATCCATCCATTTCTTTGTAGAAAAGCCTTAATGAAAAGCTTCCCCCCACCCCATATTCTCCTTTCTCAGACCTGTTGACTGTTCCATCTTCTACAACCTTGTGGGTAGAGGTCTCCTGGACTCTTCATTGAACTGACCCTTTTCCTTCACAGGTTCGGACAAAGGATCACCGCTTTGAGAGTGTCAGTCATCTCATCAGCTACCACATGGACAATCATTTGCCCATCATCTCTGCGGGCAGCGAACTGTGTCTACAGCAACCTGTGGAGCGGAAACTGTGATCCTTCCCAGCCTCTCTTCCAGAAGATGCTCTCCAACCCCCTCCACCTTCCTTCCTAACTCTCAGGAACTCACTTGGGAGTGTTCTGTGGGGCTTGGCCTTGGGTAGGAGCTGGGTGTAGTGTGGACTCTGGGTTTAGTATCCAGCTGAGGGAGGATTTGTCAGGAGCCTGGGGTAGAGCCCTGCTTCTCCCCAAACCTCACCAAAGTATTAATGTACAGAGTAGCCTCCTTGCCTGGGCCTTTCCTGTGCCAATCTGATGTTCCCTTCCTCAAGAAGGCAGGTGCTTGTAATGGCATACGCCCTGTGGTGATAAGCCCAGCGAAGCTATCAACCTTCTGGGGAAGCGGAAACAAATCACACCTCTGGTCCACCCTGGGCTTCAGGGTACCCCTGACCCCTCTCAGTCCCCCTCTGCCCTAGTGTTTAAACTTTGTGCCTTTGACCATCTCCTAGGTCTGAAGATATTTTATGCAAAGAGGCCCCTGAATTCAAGGACAGGGGTGTTGACACCTTTTTGGCTTTTGGAACCCTGCCCTCTTCTTGTTCAGCATCCCTCCAGTTTGGGATGGGAGAACAGAGGCAGGCCTGGTAGCTGTATCCCCTCTCCCTGGGGATACAAAACCCTTAGAGATTGCTCCATAGCCCCCCTACCGGCCAGGGGGTAGTTGGACCCCTCCCCTGCTCAGTGCCTCCTGGCCGGGGCCCCTCCCCACAAGGGGTCTGTATATACATTTCGTAAGCTCCACCTTTTCTCTTTTGCATGCATGTTTACTCTACAGCCAAAGTAGCCCTTCGTCCTGTAGCTCCACCCTGCCTCCCCATCTGTGGCAGTGCGGGTGGCTGAATTTGGGCCTCCTGTACATACAGTAAACTGACCCGGGTGGGTTTTGTGGAGGCGGGAACAGGGGTATTAAGACTCTAAGGCACTGGACAATCCCTAAATACTATCTCTAGATTTGGAACTGCATTCAGTTTTTTACTTTATATGCATATACTTTAGGGCTGTAGATTTATTTTCCTAATCTTGTTTTCCATGGCTTTTGAGCACAAAATGATGATAATCGATTACATTTATATATCACCTCTTTGACTTTTCCAAGTCCTTTTACAATTGGCATTTTTCTCAGAGGTAACTAGGACTGGCAGCATTTTTTTTTTTAATGTAAGACCTGCAGCAGAAACTGATTTAGTCTTGGGACTGAGTTTGGGTCCCTTACCGTGAGGCTGGGAAGTGTGGCTGAGTATTGATTGGTACAATGTCACGAAGTGGTAGCTTAAAACCTCCAGGTGTGGAGCACCTTCTAGGCGCGACCCTGGTGAGACGACGGAAACCGGCCCTGCGGGCTCTCCAGGCCGTGGGGATCCGGGAGGATCACTGTTAAATTCTGGCCGCCGCCTCTTTTTGTTTGGATGTTTCCACGGGTCTCAGTTATACCAAAGGGAAAGTCTCCATTAAAGTCCGTATTTCTTTTACCTCGGCGTCTGAGACCTCGGAAGGCCTACTGTCTGCCGCGGTGCCTGGGCGGCGGGAGGTCGCGGGCAGCCCCACCTGGCCTCGCCGGGCCGTGCTCGGTCCGACGCCCGCGTGCAGGAAGCCGGGGATCTGCCGAGTTGACAGGCGGGGAGGTGCGGCCAGCCGGCCGGGGGTGTGTCTGCGGAGGGTGCGGGTCCCCGCAGGGCCGGCCACGGCCAGGCCAGCGGCAGCCGGACGGACGCCGAGGCCGGCCCGGCCCGCGCTCCTCGGCGGCCCCGCCCGGATGGTATGGCCCGGCAGCAGGGGCAGGCGAAGAGCGCTGCCGGCCCTGGGCTAGCTGGCCAGGGCTGCTCCTCCGGCGGAAAGCGCCCTCTGCTAGAGTCGTGGCGTGTACGACCTCCTCCCTCCCGGGCGGAAGGTCCCGGCCAGTCAGTGCTTCCCCCCCTCCCCCCCCCGCCGCGCAAGGTGGTGGCGGCCGAGGCAAGTTCCGGTTCCGGTTGCTGCCGCCGGCGGCGAGCGGTGAATCTGGAGCGAGCGCGCAGTTTGCGCTCCAGGAAGGCGCTTCTCCCTTGCCGCGTCTTCGGCTTGCTGCAGCTCGGGGGCCAGAGCTGTCCGAGGCCCCTTCCCGGCGATGGTGCAGCCTGAGGGGGCCTCCGCCCCCCTCCGCCGCTGACCCCAGTCCCCCACTCCATGGCCGCCTCGGCGCCGCCCCCACCGGACAAGCTGGAGGGAGGTGGCGGCCCCGCACCGCCCCCTGCGCCGCCCAGCACCGGGAGGAAGCAGGGCAAGGCCGGTGAGAGCGCTGAGGGGGCGGGGGTCGGGAGGCCCGGACTCGGGAACCTTCGAGGGGAGGGTCAGTGGTGGTGGGTGGGCCTCGGGCCTCGGGGCCTGCTGGGAGGCTCTGGTCTGAGGATCAGCGGGTTTAGCCCTCCGGGGATCGGGGGCAGGTGTCAGGGATGGACTTTGGGGTTTGGAGCCACGTGGGATATCAGGAGTCTTGGAGTAGGGTGATATCAAGACCTGGCATGTCTTTCAAGAGTATGGTCATAGAATTCATTTTCATATGACTCCTCATTGATATTTGTTAAAATAAACGAGTATATGCTGAATTAACATTAGAGCAGTTCCTGGGAGGAAGAAAGTTTGAAAAACCTTAGGGAAACTTGCTTGCCTCTTCTTTTGCTGCTCTTTCAGGTCTGCAAATGAAGAGCCCAGAAAAGAAGCGAAGAAAGTCAAATACTCAGGTGAATTACCATTGTTGGTGGGTAATTTCAGCAACCCCTGGGGTGCTGTGTCTATTCTGTTGCCATGTTTGGTCTTCTGTTAGGTGCAGGGAGAAGAGAAAACTGTCTTGTTCTGTTTCTGGTCCTTTCTCTCAACCTTATAATAAACTCCATGGGAAATATTCTCCCCCAAGAATGATTTGATCAAAGGTCTTATTGGACAGGGTCACAACCTTCCTCTCCCTCATTTTTCCTGTCCTGGATGATGATAACATAAATTCCATCACTATCAGTCTTTTCTAAATGCCAGGATTGTGCTGAAGTACATTTTTTTGTTTGGGGAGGTAGGCATTGTCTTTTTTTTTTTTTTTACAGATAAGAAATCTGAGGCTTAAAAAAAGTTAAATACCTACTTCAGGGCCAAAGCTGGGATTTCTGCTCTCTTTCAAAGCAGTCATGGTGCTGTGATGGCTCTGCTCACTACCCTGTGTTTTTCAGTTGCATGCTAAGGCGCATCTTTATTTTAGACCTGAGCTGTTGATCAGTATCAATCTCCAAAGTGTGTGTTCTGTTTGTTGGTAGGACTCTCCTGGTTTATCTCTGTGTGTCCCTTCATGACCCTTTTCCTCATCTGCTCTCCACTAGGGTCCTGCTTACTCACATCTGACGGAGTTTGCACCACCCCCGACTCCCATGGTGGATCACCTGGTTGCATCCAACCCTTTTGAGGATGACTTCGGAGCCCCTAAGGTGGGGGGCGCAGCCCCTCCATTCCTTGGCAGTCCTGTGCCCTTTGGAAGCTTCCGTGTACAAGGGGGCATGGCAGGCCAGGTGCCCCCAGGCTATGGCACCGGGGGTGGAGGGGGTCCCCAGACACTTCGCCGACAACCCCCCCCTTTTCCTCCTAATCCTATGGGACCTGCTTTCAACATGCCCCCCCAGGGCCCTGGCTACCCACCCCCAGGCAACATGAACTTTCCCAGTCAACCCTTCAGCCAGCCTCTGGGTCAAAACTTCAGCCCTCCAGGTGGGCAGATGATGCCAGTGGGGGGATTTGGCCCCATGATCTCACCCACCATGGGACAGCCTCCCAGAGGGGAGCTGGGCCCTCCTTCTCTCCCCCAGCGTTTTGCTCAGCCAGGTGTGCCTTTTGGCCCTTCTCCTCTACAGAGACCTGGTCAGGGGCTCCCCAGCCTGCCCCCCAACACAAGTCCCTTCCCTGGCCCAGACCCCGGCTTTCCTGGCCCTGGTGGTGAGGATGGGGGGAAGCCCTTGAATCCACCTGCTCCCACTGCTTTTCCCCAGGAGCCCCACTCGGGCTCGCCAGCTGCTGCTGTTAATGGGAATCAGCCCAGTTTTCCCCCAAACAGCAGTGGGCGGGGTGGCGGCACTCCGGATGCCAACAGCCTAGCACCCCCTGGCAAGGCAGGTGGGGGTTCAGGGCCCCAGCCTCCCCCAGGCCTGGTGTACCCATGTGGTGCCTGTCGGAGCGAGGTGAATGACGACCAGGATGCTATCTTGTGTGAGGCCTCCTGCCAGAAGTGGTTCCATCGCGAGTGCACAGGCATGACTGAGAGCGCCTATGGGCTGCTGACCACTGAGGCCTCTGCTGTCTGGGCCTGTGATCTCTGCCTCAAGACCAAGGAGATCCAGTCTGTCTACATCCGCGAGGGCATGGGGCAGCTGGTGGCCGCTAATGATGGGTGACACTGGCGAGGTGGTCCCAGGGAAGTGCACATGTCCCTTCCTGCACCTCCAGGGTGATTGTCTGGCTCCTGGCCCTCGTTTCCGCTGGTTCCCCATCCTCACGGAGCAGAAACATGATGGTTCCTGGGGACAGAAGAGCCTGGGTTGCTCACTTTTCTGGAAACAACACATTAAGATCTACGGAGATCCAGGAAACCAAAGCCCTGCTGAGCAGAGCCAGCGTTTTTTGTGGCTATTAGGAAGCCTAGGGATGTGACTGCAAGAGAAAAGGGGACAGGAAATTCAGGAGGGCAAGAGTGTCCTGTCTGCCTATGATGGATATCTAACACCTGTGCCTGACACCCCTGTTTCGCCCCACAGCTCTAGCCTTAGTTTTTGGAGTGAAGCATTGAAGGTTTCTGGCTTGAGGAGCCGGTCTCTTCCCATCCCTGCGACAGCCATTTCGTGGGCTCTGGGAGACCTCTTTAGGGAATAAATGGGGATTCCTCCTTTTTTCTACCTTCCCCTTTGCCTCTCTCAGACCTGTCCAGCTCCTCCTCCCTCAGCACCAACAGCTTGAAGAATCGCGTTCCCAGCTAGGGCAGTTTCTTGGTGATTTGGGGCTTCATGACAGTAGGTAAGAGGTGCTGTCAGGACATATCTTCCTCATACCAAAGTCACTGGTCTCAGCTTCCCATGCTTTTCTCTTAATGACCATATTTTTGCCAAAAAAAAAAAAAAAAATTGGGACACGTGGTCTGAGGGACCAGAATAATTGAAGTCTGGGTTGTCCTGGAGTCTGGACTCTGTTGGCACCCCTGGCCCCCCATCTGTTGCACATTAAGCCCAGTGCTGTTCTTCAGCTTTTTGCGCCCTCATACCCCTGCCTCCCTGGCTTGGTTGGAGGAAAGCTTGGAAAGGTACCAAGACCTTATACCTCATTTCCTCCCTGATAGGAGCATCCTAGTGAGGCCCTGTCACAGCCTTGGGGGTAGGAGGAGTCAGCAGGATTCTCAATGCCATGGTACTAAAAGGAAGGAGAGCCTGGAAATTTTTGCTTCTCTCTTTCCTAGCCATTAGGGATCATCTTGGGCCTGGTGATCTAGCAGTCCTCACTAGTCTCAGCCAAAGTCCTGCACTGGGCTTGTTTTTCTTTTCTTTTTAAAGCACTGCCTGCCAGCCCTGAGCCTGGGTTGTGGTCAGGAGCCCCTCTTGGCTGCTTTTGTTCCTTACAGCTCCTGTGTGCATTCCTCAAAAGGGCGGGGAAGGGAGTGTGGTCTGTGGTCTCTAGCCCTCGGGGTGTGGTGGCAAAGGCTACCTTCTGGTCCCTACTCCCACTTCTCTCTGCTACCTGCACCTGGAGGGAAGATACTGCCTGGTGGAGCCCACAGCCTTTGCAGCTATGAGGAAGAGGGTGGGCCTCGGGCTTCTCTAAGCTGGTGTTCCCCACACCGAAACAGTGGAGGTGGCACCCCAGCTTTGTGTTGTGTTTGTGGTTCTGTTTGCTTCTCCCCTGTTGCTACTTTTGTATGCCTCCCTCTCCACAGCTGTAAACCACTCCTGGGGAGTGTAGACGTCACTACTTTTTGGAAGAAAGTGGAGTGGCAAGAGATGTGGTCGTGGGGTTTTTTTGTACGGTTGGGTTAATAAAATGACTTTAAAATCCAGGCAAGGACACATTGTTGTTTATCTGCAAAAAGGCAGGTTGAAACCACTGTCACTACTGGTAAGGGTGTGGTGTGGGTGGGGATGTTTACTTCCCAGGGCCCCTGGAAGTGGGAATGGCGGGAAGATCCAACCCCTTGGATCGACTGCTTCAAGCTGCTGAGTCAAGGAGGCCTTGCGTTGACACACCCCTCCCCATGTCCCTGCTCTGAGAAACCCATTTTCCTTTCTGAGCACATTCCGGGCCCGGGCCTGGAGCCAGGCAGGACAGTTGGCTCCAAGATCTCTGGGACCAAGCGCTTGAACTCTTCTAGGTTTAGGGCTCATCCTCTCCACCTCTCAGTCGTTTGTGTTGGGGTGAAGGGTAGCTTCCAGAGTGAGGGGGCCCTCCCATGCCTATCATCCCATCAGCTCCGGAGGCTGAGGCAGGAGGACCGCCAGTTCAAAGCGAGCCTCAGCAACAGCAAAGTACTAAGCTACTCAGTGAGTCCCTGTCTCTAGATAAAACACAAAATAGGGCTGGGGATGTGGCTCAGTGGTCAGTGCCCCTGAGTTCAATTCCCGTTACCCCCGCGGGGTGGGGGGAGGGAGGGGGGGGGCCCCACCACAACATCCTAGCAGATTTCATTTTTGGATGTTTTTCAGACCCCACCCGCTTTTAAAGTAGAGTGGCTGGAGCCGGTGGGAAGAGTGGCAGGAGGGCTGTTTCGTCTGCCACCCTTCTCTCTCCCTTCCCCCATCCTACAGCTGTCCCTGTCTGTCCTGGGCCAACCTGGCTTCTTGTCCTTGTCATCTCGGGAACAACACCCTTTACCTTTCAGTTTTGGCTCTTTCCTCCAGAAATTTTAGGCACGAGGAAAGAGAGGAAGGCCACGCAAAATTCCATTTGCTGAGCCCTCGCTCGCCCCACAGGAGGTCAGTCCCAGGTTGGGGGCCTCGGAGATCTCCGGCCTCGCCGACTCGCATTTCAATTCTTATTGGCCAAAAGTTTCCGCCCCCTTGGGGAAGTCGACTCTCCATTGGCCCGTCCCCGGGTCACGTGCCTCCCCTCTTCTCTTGGGCTGGAAACCTGGGGAAACAAGTTAAGCTGAAGCCCGAAGCCAGAGCTGGGTCAGGTAATGCCCTAGCGGGAAAGGGCCCCAGGAGATGGGAGCTAAGGAAAAGAGGGTAGAGCTCTAGAAGGACTGGGCACCACCGAGGACCCACAGAGCTGCCTTTCGAAAACCTAGAACTGGGGGAAGGCAGGGGAAGGTCATTTTCGAAACAGGAACTGGCCCTAGGTCCTTTGCTTAGAGGTTTGGGGGACAACTCTTGGGTTGAAAGTTAGCCTGAGGCAAGATTTGCTAGCTTTCTACAGAGGGGAGAGCCCGCGCTTTGGCTGTCTTTTAGAAAAGCAGAAGTTCGTGACAACCCTTACAGGAGATTTTTATTGAATCCCTCCTGAAAGGGGATAGTGGGGAGGGAGTGGATTTTCTTCAGAGAGGACTGAGAAGAAAAACTCTGAAAACGCAGCAGGAAAGGGTGGAGATGAGAGAGCAGAAGGAACTTCCTAATAAGGCAGTGAGATGCTGGCTTGGGAGAACAGGGGTATCTTTTGGAATGTTGAGCGAACACAAGCAAGAGAGAGGTATGTCGGGGTTTGGGACCCCGAGTGCAGGAGTTCCAGACTTCTTGTTTGTCTTGTTGACCCAAATACCCGTTGCTGGTTTCCATGGAGACAGTGGGTCTGACATCACCCTGGTTGCCATGGTGCCTAGTTGTGGAGGACCTGAGCAGGCTGTACACAGCCAGGGATAAACAGGGACTTCAGCCCAAGCTGCTGCCACTTCCTTCCTGCCACCACCTGTTAACAGTCACACGCAGCAACTGGAGATGGGGAGATGACAGAACAGTGGGGGAGGGACTGAGCACAAGGCTGAACAGCTATGGCTCTACAGATGGCCATAAAGCTATGCCGCGTTGACCTGGTGGACGTGGTGTGGAGACGTCACTGCAGTCTTGTCCTGCCTCCATGTGGGATGGGGCGGGTGTCCTTCCCCCATCCTGATCTTAGAGCATGACTGGCCAAGTCACCAGGACACTGGCCAGGGCTCACTGCGAGCTCCGCAGATGGGCCAGTCGCTGGGTTTGAGGGCAGAACTACAGACACCCCTGGCCTCACTTTTCCCCCAGTGTTTCCTCACAGTCATATTTGTTTACTGCCCTTCCCACCCCTGGGGAAGCGACGATTCATCTACCTCTGAAGGATCACAGCCCAGGACTCTGAGGGGTCAGTTTAACTTTCACTTCACCCTTAGGCCTGGTCCCAGTTGCAGCCCGAGGGCACAGGGTTGGACTTCGATGAAGGCGGTTTCCTCTCCTCCTCCTCCTCTTTTTTTTTTTTCTTGGCTCTACTAGGGACTATACCCAGGGGCACTTGACTACTGAGCTACATCCCTGGCCCTTTTTATTTATTTTTTATTTTGAGACAGGGTCTCACTAAGTTACAGAGGCTGGCCTCAAACTTGTGATTCTTCTATCTCAGCCTCCTGAGTTGCTGGGATTACAGCTGTGCACTCCTACACCTGGCTAAGGTCCCTCTCGTGTGATCCTGTTTTATGCCTGGCTTTGGAGGCTGGAATAATGTCCTAGCCCCCACTCTGCCAAGTCAGAGCAGATTAGCGGAGGACAGGGCCAGAGTCCTGATTTTTGCCTATTTTTTTTAACTTTTTATTTCTATGCAGTGCCTCACACATGCTAGGCAAGCACTCTACCACCCCAGCCACAACCCCAGCCCTTGCCTATGTTTTGCAAACTGTAAAGTGCTTTATACATGGTAGTTGCCACAGCCCCTTTTTCTCAGTCACCTTTCAAGTTTCCTAAGACCAGACCCTGCAGCTAGCTAGTAAGGGGGGGCAGAACTCAGGATGCAGAGTGAGCGTGGAGCTGGACTAAAAGTGCCTCCTCCAGGTGGATCTGAGGTGGGCCAGTGCTTCTTAACCTTGGCTGCAAGTGAGAATCATCTGGGAGGTTTAAAAACAAACAAACCGGGCCTGGTCCACCCCCACTCTGAATCAGATCCTGGGGGAGCTAGTGTGTGAGTGGTGTCCAGAGCCCTTGAGTTCCTACAGCGGGCGGTGGTGGGAGATTTAGAGCCAGAGGAGGCCCTGCCTGAGGGGTGGTGACTGTGGAGGTGTCTGGTGTTGGAAGTTGTCTTCATTCTTATTACCTGTTGGTCTTTGGCAAGGCAAGTCAGTTGACCTTTCCAAACTTCCTCTTCCCTGAGTGTAACCTCAGGGAGTTGGACTCTGTTCACCTGGGTCTTTCCAGCCCTGGATTCTTTGACCTTTCAAGGTCAGTCCAGGTTCCCAAGCCCTGTGGGTCCTTGGAGGAGGCAGCTTCTCTCTGACTTGGGCAGGTGTTGATTTGCAAGGCACATTCTGCCCCAAAGAGCTGAGGTGTCAGGATCAGAAGGCCTGGAACTGGCCTGGCTCTGCAGGCTGCTGACCAGTCCTCATCCTTGGGACCCTGTCAAGCTGTGGCTGCGGCTCAGTGGTAGAGCACTCGCCTAGCATGTGTGAGGCCCTGGGTTGGATCCTCAGCACCACATAAGAATAAGTAAATAAAGCTACTGTGTCCAACTACAACTAAAACATAAATATTTAAAAAAGAAAAAAAAAAAAAGATTGCTTTCTGCATCCTGCCGCTCCTGAAGGAAACTGGTCCTTAAAAGAGGTTTTCTCTGCAGGTGGCAGCCCCAGCAGCCGCAGAGACCTCACCACTATGGCCACCTGCCCAGATGTGGATAATAGCTGGGTGCTTGCTGGCTCAGAGGTAGGAAGAACAGACTTGGGGACCACACGGGAAGGGACCCTGAAGGGGTGGGCTGCTTTCTGGGTGTCCCCTTCCTTGATCCTGGTGGTCACCTGTATCGCCTCCTGCTGGCCTTGGAGGAACTCTGGGGAGGGAGACGGAGCTCTGGCTCCAGGGTCAGGTGTTGACTTGGACTGTACCTGGAGGAAGGGTACCAGCTGGGTGAGCTGAGAAGAGCGGGGAGAACAGCAAGAGCAAAGGCCCGAGAGCCGTGTGCAGGTGAACCGGGGGTGTCATTGGATGGGGTGGAAATGAAGCTGGGGTAGAGCCTGGGAACTCTGTAAGAGGTCCAGAGGGCCTGGTGAGGCAGTCCAGCCTCCTCCTGATGGGCAGTCAGGGAGGACTTTGATTGGGGGTGTCCAGCATTCATTGCTTTGGGCAGATATTGAAGCCACTGTGTGGGCTGGGTGAGAACAGGGACAGTGGGACAGTAACGTGGGTTTTTGTTTTGTTTTGCTTTTGGTACTGGGGATTTAATCCCGGGGATGCTGTACCGCTGGGCTATACTTCTAGTCCTTTTTAATTTTAATTTTTCCACAGGGGATCACTAAGTTACCCAAGAAGGCCTCAAACTTGCAGTCCTCTGCCTCAGCCTCCTAAGTAACTGGGATTGTAGATATGTGCCACTCCACTGCACCCAGCCAGGGACAAGGGCTTCTATAGCCGTCCAGATAACAGCTGGTGGTATAGAAGCCCCTGGGACCCCTGTGCTCCTAAAACCACTGAGAAGGGAGAAAGGGGATGCAGGATGGGGATTAGTGCCTGGAGACGGGGTGGAAACAGGATGTCAGAGGGATGTGGAGCCAGGCATGTTGGAACACGCCTGTAATCCTATCAATTTGGGAGTCTGAGGCAGGAGGATCAAAAGTTTGAGGCCAGCCTGGGCAACTTAGTGAGACTGTGTCTTAAAATAATAAAAAGGGCTGGGGATGTAACTCGGTAGAGGGCCCCTGGATTCACTCCCAAATACTGTAAAACAAAACAAAGGATCTGGAGAATTCCCAGCCTTGGCACCTTATGTATTAGAATCACTAAGGGGGAGAGGAGCTTGGCTTCCACTTACTGAGTTTGAGGTGCTGGGAGGAGCCCTGTTGGGAGTGAGGAGTTCACGTCAGCAATGACACTGAGCAGGATACATAGGCCAAGGGCTCACAGGCAGAGGGGCGGCAGTTTAGGGAAGGACAGGCACTGTGGACTCAATCAGCCCTGGCCTGGGGTGGGGTTATCCTTGCTGACTGTTGAACCCTGGGCAGGCCATGTCCCCTCTCTGTCCTCCCCTATAAAATGAGGATTGTGATTCTTGCCTTGTAGCCTTATGAGGTGACTATGAGTAAAACATGATCTGAAAATTGCAAAGAAACAGACCAAGGTCAAGAATTATTCTTGGCTCACGCCTGTAATCCCAGCAGCTCAGGAGGCTGAGGCAGGAGGATGGCAAGTTCAAAGTCAGCCTCAGCAACTTAATGAGGCCCTAAGCAAAACCTTAAATGAGACCTTGTCTCTAAATAAAATATAAAGGAGGTCTAGGGATGTGGCTCAGTGGTTAAGCACCCCTGGGTTCCCTCCTGGTACCAATAAAACTTAAAAAGAAAAAAAAAAAAAAAAGAATTATCCTTGGGGTGGTAGCAGGAGCCATGGGTGGGGTGGGCACGCAGTGGGCCAGAGGGAGGAGAGGCTGTGGGTACCCAGGGAGTCAGGCTGGCTGTGACCGGGGACAGGGGGTTTCTGTCAGCACCTGCGGGAGATTGGGCCTGTGTGGGAGCCGTGGGTATGGGAAAGGCCAGGATAGTGTGGAAGAAAAGTGGTTGGGCAGGTGTGAGGAGACCCTGGGAATGTCACTGACCTTTAGGCACCAGGGGTAGTCAGTGAGGACTTTGACCCAGGGGGGTTATTCTCTTGCTGTCCCTACCCCAACTAATGACTGAGTCGGGTTGTTCACTTACGGGAAAAGTAGTCCTGCTGATGTGGGGGGGCCCCGGGCTCGGGCAGGCCTTCCCCAGGGGCTGCTGGGTGTGCGGGTCCCTGCCTCCTAGCAGTGCTGCTAGTTTTAACAGAAGCGTGGCCTCTGGAGCGAGGGTGGAGAGTGACTGGGCGGAGACCCCTGGGT